AACAGTCACTCGATTCCGAGGGGACAGCCGCTGGTTAGGATAGAGCTCATAGCCAATTTGCCTAGAGCGTTTGCTCGGCTTCTTTAGAGGTCCACACAAATAGAAGAACCATTCGAAAATGCTTGGCTGTTTCGAGAAAAAAGTTTTAGAATTTTCAGTTTCTTTGAGAACGATGTTTCATGATTGTGGTCGCCGAAATGCTTGCAAGGAATCCCAAGTTCAATTAGAAGGGGCAGGGTTACTTTGCGACTGTGCAAAAGCCAAAGTCAATCCAATTTTGAGAAGAGGAGGGATGACAACTACCTCTGCTGCTTACTTGTCATCAGTAGGCAATCTTGTCGTGTGCATCGCTTTATGCCAGTACATTTTAATTATAAGTGGGTATGGTGAGCTTGCGTCTAGAATGCATTTTCGTGTTACAGGTGTCATACGTGGTCTCCTTTGCGGGAAATTAGTGAGTATCTCGCATCAGAAGCCTCTATAGGAGGGAGGGGGTGCGCCAAAATTATAAAAAAAAGTTCTGTGAATGGATCAGACCGTTGGTTGGTTGTCGGTATAGGATATCATCGGCTAGTGCAGTTAGCAGCTAACAGATTTCGTTTGTAATATTCTGAACTTAAAAGAGTATCCTCTTCGAGAAATTACATTACTTTTTTCTTTACAGGGGAAATCTTGCGCTTATTGCCTCTCTTATTTACCCCCTCTCTTATTTATCCCAATCCCAAATTTTAGGATTTTCGCGCGGAGCCCGTCATATGTTCCGAGAGTTGACTAAACGAGATCCACGATTGACAACTGGGGAAGGACTACGAAGACTCTTCGACGAGATCGATGAAGGAAATGTTAAAACGCAAGAAGGTACCCACCAGTGCTAATTTTGCACTTATGTATTATTTGCCTGTATTGTTTCTAGATATCTACCTCAGTAAAAGTTTCAGTTTTCGAATTCAAAGACAATCTGTCATGTTTTTGTTTCAGAGCTTCTGGAACGGTTGTTCCATACTGCTGAACTTGAGGAACACATCGACAATGCCGGTGGTATTACGGTACGGTTACTCGTGAACTCTTTTTTTTGCAATCGTAAATAAAGCATGTTTTACTTGCACAGTTTTAGTTATATCAATTGTTTAGCCGGAGGACGAGGACGTTTTTGTTGAGCATATGAGAAACACAGTCGCATCTGGTGACATGGATGATCTCTCAGGAACCAAAGCTGAACGTCGAGCACCTAGATCAGTCAGTAGCTTCAAATTACCGCATTTCTCGTCGCAAACTTCGTTTTGATCCTTTTTCAGAATCTCAGCAAGCTCGACAGCTTTGTGGAGTATCTTCTCCAGAAGATAAACCAACAATGGCTGTCTCTGATATACGCTGAAGCCATTCCATCAAGTGCAAACTCTTGTGTTCATATGCCTGGTACAGTTTGTGAGGTGAGAAATGCAGTTAGCTTTTCGATATTTCCCTTGGGATCGTTAAGTAATCCAGAGGCTGCTTAGTTTAGCTTGCCATCGTTGTTCCTGCTGCTGCCAGTGGTCATCGCTTATGTTTCGTTCTTCTTGATGGTTTATTTTACATTGAAGATGTTTCACAACAAAAGGTGAGCAAGTGAACTGCGAGTTATGAAGCTCACCGCGCCAGTGTTCTATAGGGAACGGAAATTTCTATTGTAGCTTACAACGAAAGCGAAGAACATGGGAACGTTTGATTCAAGTGTTCAACAAGAAATCTGAGGACAATTCGACTGAACCCGAGGCTGTACGTCATTTTGTCGCAACTTCTTGTGCTTCCTTTTTGTCATGAGTCCACTTTTGTTTGAGCTTTTTTTAAATATCGTGAAACCTATTAAACGCAGTCAGAGCGTACCGAACCCGATAATTTCAGGAGTCATATTTTATCACTGACAACAACTGGGAGCCATACATCAACTTTGCACTCTCGGTATCGTTATTCATCCTATCAGGTATTCCATTCTCTATATATTCCTCAATGCAAGCAAATGGTTGATGTTCTCCAAAATCCAAAACTCTTTTTCGATTGCCCTTTCAATTCTTTCCTCTACCACCGCGTTATCGCATCTGAATTCGCTAACCGTGTGCCGCGCACTGAGAAAGAGCTGAAAGAAGAGAAAGCTTTGGGATGTGATTCCCTAAATTTTCTGTAGCCAGAAAAGTGTTGTTGTCGAGCACCTCAAGTTCAATTTCATGAATACACTCTCTAGGATAGCTTGTTTACTTAGGTGTGCAAGTCATATTCCATGGTCCGAGGATCAATTTCTGTACCGTGGCCGTCAGGCCAACCAAGGCTACCATTCCTTTGGGGTCGGGCTTGTATAAAAACACTGACTTCTACATCAACTGACTCCTACTTATTTCTTCTGCGAGCGCCAACAACAGACTTTCGTTTCTGTCTTTCGCGATTCATGGTTGATGGAAAAGATGGCGGAATGGTATCTGAAGAATCGTTCTGCTGCAATCGCAGCTGCTTTATGTGTGACGAGCGCATTCCACCCATCTCGCAGCAGGTCTGTGTTTGCTACACGAGAATTCTAAGCCCACTCCACCGTTCTGCTTGTCCATCTGTCATCATCTCTTGATATGACCAGATGTATTCCACAAAGATCGCGGAAGCGAGACTTTTTGCGCTCTTCTGAGCTGTGTACTCCGGCTCGGCATTGAGTCATTCGATAAAGGAGGAATTTGCGATAAGAACGAAGGTGAAGAAGGGGAAATTGCATAGTTGGGAGACAGGCGGACCTCCTGAGGGTGCTGACCGACGCGCAATTGGCAGCGAAAGATTTGACCTCGGCGATCTAGCATGGCTCACTCTTGGCGCGGTTGGCGGGGTACGCCCACCGACTATCTAATCACTCGCCGCAGGTCTATACGTGGCGAGTGATTAGATAGCAGAGAGAGCGTAGTGTTGAAGAGGAGGGCACAGCGATGAGAGTCGCATCAATGCGCAAATCAACGGGCAATTAAGGGGTCCCATTTCTCGGGTTTTGGGCCAATTGCTTCCTTCTTCGTCCCTCGCTCCGCTGCTCCACTGACGCCTTTAACCTTACTTCCGATGAGCTAACTTTTCATCGTAAATTCTACCTTCAACCTCAAAACACATCGCTCGAGACTGTGTCTTACAGTAAAGGTCCTTGATGTGGATGCCCTGCTCACCCATGGCTCAAATGCGTAGCAGTGCAGGCAGAAGTGTGTAATAAGACGGAATCTGGATCTGCGCAGATGTAGTGACCCTGTCATAGGACCGAAGACTGGTAAACCGTCTGTCGATAATTTACTTACGGATTTGATCTACGGAATGTCTGTGGGAGGGGAGTACTTGAGGTTCGAGAGGAAGGATATCGCTGAATAGGTGAGAAAACTAGGAACTATAGAACGTCTGGCCATGTCTGGACCATCAATTTTGGCAAGTGACCGCTTGAAAAATTTTCTAAAAGCTTATTTTGTTTGGTTGAACAATATTTTTTTTCAGTTGGTGCAGCGAACAGACGGTTGCCTTACTGCAGTCTTGCATGTGGAATCTCCTCATTCTTTGCGTTGGTGACGTTTGTTCAGTTCTAGCGCGGATGCGCAATCGGTATTAGAATAATGCGCCTATTCGGCTGCTGATGCGAACTTCGGTCTTAGTCAATAATTGAGTTGTTTCATTTTTTTTTTCAATCAATTTTTGATCTGGTTATCTTAGTCTTCCCGTCATCCTGTCGCGTATGCACTTTGCTGCAGGGAATTGGCGAATCTGGCGTCCGTTGGTCCAGTTCAGGGTTGGTGAGTACACTGAACTATAGAGGATCTGTGAGGTTTTCCATACTGTTTTTATGGGTCGTTCACAATAGGTTACTTGGTCGCCAGTCTGGGAATTCCATCGTTATGGCTGTGTACAATCCTCGTTTACATCTTGATGGCATCGAAAAGGAAGACATGGACTGATGTACTACATGCTGTGGTTCCCCATATAGTGAGCAAGATTTTATCATATTTTATTATTGTTCTTTTGGCCATTTTTCATCCATTTATATGCAGTGGAACTCGGGAAACAAGTAGCATCGGATTTATTCGCCCTTTGCTGTCGAACTCCTTCGACACACAGTGAGCCCGCATTCCATTCGCAAATGTCAAATGACTGTGGAGATGGCACGAATGTCGCCCTCTTAGTTCTCAGTTTTATTCGTAGAACACAAATTCCGCATAGCTTTTTGGCCGCAAAAAACTTGCCGTGGTTCAATGGTGTTCCTGGTTTGACGCGTACACCAGCGGGCGGGAACAGGAAACACCTTGCGACCACCAATTTTGCGCTTGAACCGTAGTTCGCTAGGAGATAGTTTGACTCACAGTGCATGAATATCACATTACTTCGTAGCGCGTGAGCTTTTAGCATGCGCAACGGTGCCGGGCGAAAATACCGTGATAGCGCAGGCGTCAGGCGTTTTCGCACTGAACTGATGGGACATTCGTGTTCTATGGGTTAGAATACCTACGGAAGGAGCCAACTTTCTAGCGAAATTCTTGTCATGGACGAATTTAGATTTGAATCCGGTTCAGTATTTGGCGAGGAAAGGGACAAATCGTTACTGAAAAATCTAATTGTCCCACAGATACCGCTTCTTAATGGGAATTTTCACAATTGCTAAGCACGTGTATTTCAGAGTGTGCATTGTCTGCCGTCGTGATGTTGCGCATGACACTCCTTCAGATTGGATGAACATCCTTCGGGCTGTGAGTGTCATGTGAATATTTCGGTTCGAATATCGCAGCGAGAGTTATCAACATTACTTACTTATCTGCTCTGCACGCGTCCATTTTCGTCAGTGACGATCGTCCATCATTGTTTTTGAAATTCTCGCCAATGGAATTAAATATCTCTCTCTCACCCCCTTACCCCTTCTTCAGCATTCGCGTCGGCTTTATGAGGGGCTTTAGCCATTCCTGAACCGTTGACGGATATTTCGTTGCGCCAATTAATCGATTCACTTTCATGAAGACCTGCGGCGTTCTTCTACTCCAGTACTACGCCTTACATGAGTTTTCAGTACGGTGGCATTTGCGATTCTCACTTCTTATCTTGACGTAGTATCCACTATTGTTCTTCCCCAACGTATAGCTGCGCCTTCGTGGTTGCTCTCAGTGTGTGGTTATGCAAGTCCGCGAACTGCCTATTGAGGTGAGTTCATTTTGTTGTACGCAATCGAATTTAAAAAATCCAAAAAACTTCGGATTTTGATACTACAGTGAAATACTATATTATTATTTTTCTTCCTGCTTTATCTGCATTATGCGCCTCTTAACTGGCTTTCCTTAAAGGAGTTATATCTTCGATAAGGTGGAAGGTTGAACAGTGGGAAGTTCACGTAGTAGAAAGACAGGCAGATCCTCTAGGGTACGGACCGACACGCGAATTTGCAGTGAAGAATATGCCCGTGCAGTCTAGCATGGCCATCGCTAAGGCGCTATCGGCGCGGCACGCCCACAACTGGCTAACCACTCGCCGCAGGTCTCTAGCCGTTTAGCAGAGAGAGCGTTAGCGTTGAAGAGGGCAGCACCGATGAGAGTCGCATGAAACGGGCAAGGAAGGGGTCCATTTCTCGGGTTCTGGGCCGTTTCTCATTTTTTCTTCATCCCGGCACCACTTACCACCCTACCTTGATTCTGATGGACTGCCTTCTAATCGTAAATCCTTCTGAAAAGGCAACAGCGGAGAACGATTTGTATGGGTAGTTCATACTGTCTCACTAGCGCTGGACCCCAAATTCTCCAAATCGAGGGTACTTTTTTTCTTTGAAAAATCGGGAATAACCACCTCTCATTGATTAGTTACTAATAGCAAACATTAGTTTGACTTTGTTGTTTTTTTTATAAAACCAACATTTTTAGGTCAGTTGGGCTAAGGTCGCAATTACGTTGCTCGTTTTGGTGTCGCCATTTATCGTTATGAAGCTTTACAGTTTTCTTTCAAACCGATACAAATTCTCAAGTACGACATTTATATTTTTAATAGGCATTATTCTCACGATTGCAAAACTCCCAGCTGAAGCTTATGAAGTTGTTAACAACTCAGTTTAACTTTAAGTCTCGCCGTCAAGCCCAGAGAAGAGAAAATGGATGATGCTGGCAATTTATTTCACTACATTGTTGATGGCGATTTCTTTCCTTTATGAAGGTCAAATGACATTCGATCCCGCCGCTGACTACACTAATATGACATGGTTTGTTTTACATGTTGCATCTTCAGGCCTTCATTACAAAATTTTCTTATTTGAACAAGGGAAGTACTGCATCAAATAAAATTTTGAGAATTGAAACGTTGATTTTATCATTATCCATTGTTTGCAAGACAGTACTGGGCGCGTCGCAATATTTTGCTACTCCTTATAAAAGTCAAAACAGTGCCCATTTCCAATAAGGTTCGTCAATTTTCACGCATTGGCGACAGCCCGTTCTGCGTGCTTCAGGGTGAAAATTGGTTGAGGATTCGTCGACGGCTCGTCGAGGATTTTCGCCTGATCAGTCACGCTCTCCGCGCGGACATTCACTCTCGCCATGCGCGAGCCGTCTGTGCTCTCCGCGCGTACATTCACTCTCGGCACTACTCTCGCACAGTACAGAGCCATGGTCGAGGATTTCCTCGACCGTTATTCACCCTGGCGTGGTCCATGGCATCTTTTTTGATATTTTCTCAAAACTGGCACTACTCTTTTGATAACTTCGTTACTGATAATTGCATAGTATTTTCTGGATCCAATGTTACTTCAAACAATTACCAGAAAAATTGATTCGAAAAGCAGCCGCGATGGTCCAGAATTTATAGTCCAATCTAGTTCTATCTCATGCTTTGCCAGAGCTTAAATGGAATACCACTTCTCGAGCGTAGTCTAAGAGGGGCAAAGCTGATCAGTACGCGACTGGCTGTACTGCTCCGCCTTGCCCCTGCCAGACTACAAGCGTGAGAAAAATATGAAAGTGCCAGCTGTCTAGTGCTAACTATAATATAGAAGATGTAATTCGTGGCTTCTTCAAAATTTGGATGTGCTTTATTGTAGGACTCAATATGATCGCCATTGTTCGCTTAGCTCTGCAAATACGATTGACAACCAGATTCGTTGCAGCCAGCTGAAAGGTATGCTGTCATCATGATTGTTCGGTTCAGGTGGTATCCCAACATTACTACACTTCTAGGAACGGCCATCAAACTGGAAAGGAACGGTTCAAACAGTCCGAGTGGTGAACATCGACAATTCATTTGAAACGCTTCTTGGGTATTTGCCGGAGTCCATCGGACAGACTCTCAGATGTTTCTATGACAGTAATCGAACAACGAGCGATAGTGAAGGCATGCGGTAAGTCAAAATAGCAGTTGTCACGCCCGAACGTGGTTTTTGCTTTTTGAGGAGTGCACGCAACAGGAAAAAGGCGACAATACGAGTATGAATACAGGGGGGGGGGGCAAAAAAAAAGACATTTTGCCCAGGTCGCACTTCGGCCTTTTTTTCTTCGCAGAGATTGCCGTCGTTGACGGAAGTTCCTCAGCAAAATATTCCCTAAATGTCCCTCTATAAGTACACGCAGGCCCTCCTTCACTACCCTCACCGTCTTCAGAATATGACGTCATCTGTCACCGTCGTCGAGCTCAAGGAGGCCTACAGTAACTGCTTCAACCTTGAGCTCTTACATAATTTCTTGGATCGACGTGGGATAGTTTCCTTAGGATGTTATTTAAGCTCTGAACCCTCGGAAACCCGCCTGCTCAGGAGGCGAGCGCTTTGCGCAATTCTTTAAACTCACCCCTGGGGCATGTTGAAGTAAGCGGGACTGGCCGATTACCAAGTGTAGCATTCTGGCCTACTGCTAGCTCTTTGTTTTCACAAATCACAATTTTGGGCGGGTAGATTGCATTTTTCTTCTGGCAGGACCGTCGAATGTCAAATCGCAATATCCATGAATCTCCCAATTCGTGAGTTATGAATTAGCCTCAAGGTAATCGTAGGGGATTGTTAGTAGCGAGAATCGTTCGCATACCGACCATCGTATTCATTGGGGAGGGGGGGGAGTGTTAGAAGACACTTGAAAAGCTCACCAAAACTGATGGTGCATCCCAGGAATGAGCAGCGTTCGGAAGTAACTTCTTAGTTGAAGCTGGTGGAGTTTTAAAGCGCAACATGTGATAGCTTCTATTACAAGTGTTTTGGGACCTGTCATTTTTGGGTGACAATAAAGGCTTTTCGATAATCGCATTGTGGAGCAATAAGTTTCTTGTAATCGGACAGAGTGATGCCATATGTTTGCTTATACTCTTCTCCGTTCTAACATCTCGAGCTTATTACTGTGTATTACTGTGATTCGCCTTACCTACTTGTCCTACTTTCCTGGCCAAATCAGTATTTATCGCCAGCAAATCGTCAGCGAATGTCACACTTTGAATCCATTTTTATGTGACGGGCATTCTTATTAAATTTTGGGCCACACTGATATGTGTTCACTTTCAGCGCAAACGAGTGTTCACTTACGGAACACAATGTGTACACATTTGAGATCGAGGTGTCCGGACCATACGGAGAGCGTATGGTGAGCAGCTCTAAGGGCCAGTTGGTGTTGAGCGCCGGTCACGTTTTCTACGAGATGCTACAACTGGTGGACGAGGGTAATCGCTCCCGTTTTCGTAATCGTTTTCGTTATAATATATTTCTTCTCAAAAGTGAACATTGTTCAGTTTTTGGTTATCCATCCACAGGTTAGATTGCTGTGCGGATGGGTGAGGGGGGATGAGGGAGATTGGAGTGGGAAGAGAAGAATGTTCACATTTCAGAGCCCTTGATCATAGAATTTCGGAGTAGAAAGGAATTCTAAGAAAGTTTTCGGATGATTATTTCGAAATCAATTTCTTTTCGTTTTTCTTTTTTTCTCTTTTTTTTCAAAACTCCATTCTGCTTTCTAACATTTGTCGTTCTGTCCCTACCTAGG